TTTGGTCTATTTGAGACAGGGTCTCCCTGTAGCCCCGAGTGTCCTGGAACTCACTATGTAGACCAGGCTGGCCTTGAACTCACAGAGATCCGCCTGCCTCTGCCTCTGGAGTGCTGGAATTAAAGGCGTGCGCCACAACGCCCGGCAACCAATTCTTTTTAAATATTGTTATGGGGGAGGTTTAAAAAATATTTTATGTATTTACTTTTATTTTTATGTATATGAGTGTTTAACGTGTATTCATCTAAGTGCACCTGTGCTGTGATGCCTGTGGAGGTCAGAAGAGGTCGTCAGGTTACCCTGGGGACAATTGTTAGCTGCCATGTAGGTGCTGGGAATCAAACCTGGGTCTCTGCAAGAGCAGTCAGTGCTCCTAACTGCTGAGTGCTCACATACATGCAGGCAATACACTCATATACATAAAATAAAAATAAAATTTTTTAAAAGGCTAAAATAGTAATCTTTGGTATTCTAGAAAACCTTTAAAAAAAAGGAATTTGCAGCTTCAGTTCACTGTCCCCATTTATATATATGAGACCAAGATTGATAAACCATTTCAAAGTAAGATATGTTGTTGAGGGCTGGAGAGATGGCTCAGTGGTTAAGAGCACTGACTGCTCTTACAGAGGACCCAGGTTTGATTCCCAGCACCCACAAAGTGGCTAACAAGATGGTAATTCACTTCCAGGGAATCTGTCAAGGCCCTCTAATGGAGCTGGAGCTAATGTTGCAGGTGGTTGTGAGCTGGTGTTACAGGTGGTTGTGAGCTGCCTAATGTAGGTGGTAGAAGCCAAACTAGGGTCCTCTGCAAGAGCAAGAAGTGTTCTTAACCTCTGAGCCATCTCTACAGTTCCCCAAATAATCTCTTTTTAAATTTTATTCCTAGTGCGATGGTGTATGTGTGTATGCGCATGTGTATAAATGGGAATGCACGCATGCCACAATGTGCATGGGGAGGTCAGAAGACAACTTTGTGCAATCAGTTCTCTCCTTCCACTTTTTCATGGGTCCTGAGGCTTGCACTTTTACACCCTCAGTCATCTCATTGGCCCTTCACTTTTCTACTTAAATTTGGATTCACTGTTTTGTAATCTGGTTTTTTGATTGTTTGGTTTGGTACTTGGTGCAAGAACCAGGACCTTAGACATACTAAGTTTAGTTTGGTGTAAGGAGTTCACTACAAAGTCTTTCAACTATGTGAATTTTCCTAGTATAATGTTGAGGGGGAAACCATCATCTCACCTTTAAAATTTTCTGCATGGGCCAGCAAGATGGCTCAGCAGGTAAACGAGCTTGCCACCAAGCCTAAAAACTTGAATTTGAGCCCTGGGACCCACATGGCAAAAGGGGAAAAATAAGTTCCAAAGTTGTTCTCTGACCTTCATACACATGCTGTGGCATTCTCACCCTCACACACATACACACAAAATAAATAAATTAATGTTCTTTGAAAAATAAAAACTCTGCTTCTACCAGATGTAATAAAAATAGCACATGCCTATAATTCTAGCACTCAAGAGGTGGAGGCAGGAAGACCAGGAATTCAAGAGCACTCATGTCCAGTTTGAAGCAGCCTAAGTGAACTACATGAGACCCTGCCTCAAAAATAATATACAGGGACTAGAGAGATGACTCAGCAGTTAAGAGTACTTGCTGCTCTTATGGAGGACCCAGTCTGGGTTCCTGGCACCCATATGGTGGCTAACAACCATCAGCAACTCCAGTTCCAGGAGACCCAACACCTCTGCTGGCCTCTGTGGACACCAGGCACACACATGGTAAACTTACATATATGCAGACAAAACACTCATACACATAAAATAAAAATAAAAAACACATTAAAAAAAGCACCTTCTAAAAAGTCTTATAGTTTTAAGGGAATTGAACATAGTACTTTGCTAGACAAGCACCAGCCATCTATTTATTTATTTATTCATTTCTGTAGCCCCAGCTGTCCTGGAACTCATTATATAGACCAGGCTGGCCTTGAACTCACAGAGATCCGCCTACCTCTGCCTCCAAGTGCTGGGATTAAAGGCATGTGCCACCACGCCTGGCCCTGTTTATTTATTTGTTTATTCATTCATTCATTCACTCACTCATTTATTTATTTACTTATTGAGACATGATCTTTCTGTAGCCCCAGTTGGCCTGGAACTCTCTATGTAGACCAGGCTAACCTCACTCTCACAGAGATCCATCTGCTTCTGCTTCCCAAGAGTTGGGATTAAAGGCCTGTGTCATAACGCCTGGCTATTTTTACTTTTTATTTTGAGGTAGGGTCAAGGTCTTATGTACAGCCCTGGCTTACCTTGAACTTTCTCCTTGTTAATTATGTTTATTTATTTTGTGCGTGGGTGTGGGTGGGTCTGTGGGGGTAGGAATTGATTCTCTCCTTCACCACGTGGGTACCAGTGATCAAACTCAGGTCATCAGGTTTGGTAGCAAGAACCTTTAGCACCTGAACCATTTTGTCAGTCCCAGCCCTTAAATTTTTGATTCCTATGGCTCAGCCTCCCAAATCACTGGGATTAGGGCCTGTCCCCCAAGGCCTGGCTCATAAATGGTTTTTTGTTTGTGTTTAGAGTTGATTTGTTTGATTCAGAGTCCAAATAAAGTTGGCAGATAGCATTTGGTTAATATATTATCTTCACTGTTTTTTTTTTTATTTTCTTCTCATTGTTACTCTCAGGATTAATAGTTCACAGTGCCAGCTGCAGATGCCTGGATCCAGCATCCAATCATGTGTGTGTGTGTGTCTGTGTGTGTGTGTCTGTGTGTGTGTGTGTGCATATGTGTGTTCTTTTTTGTTTTTAGACAAGTCTCACTATGTAGCCCCAGTTGGTCTGGAACTCACTATGTAGAACAGGCTGACCTTGAACTCATATAGATCTACCTGCCTCTGCCTCCTGAGTGCTGGGATTACAGGCAGGTGTACGCTACCATGCCCAATCTTTTAAAATATTTTATTTTATGTGTATGTATGTATTGCCTGCATGCAGGTAAGTGCATCCATGTTGTGCAATGCCCACGGAGGACAGAAGAGGCTGTCGGATCCCCTGGAACTGGAGTTACGGACAGTTAGCTGCCATGTTGGTGCTGGGATTCGAACCCGGGTCTTCTGCAAGAAGAGTCAGTATTCTTAACCGCTGAGCCATCTCTCCAGCCCCCCATGCCCAATTTTTTTTGTCTTTTTTTTTTTTTGAGACAGGGTCTCTCTATAGCCCCAGCTGTCCTGGAACTCACCACATAGACCAGGCTGGTCTCAAACTCACAAAGATCCGCCTGCCTCCGCCTCCCAAGTGCTGGGATTAATGACGTGTGCCACCACACCTGGCTAGACCCAATTTTTAAAAATATTTTAGGATCCAATATTTTAAAATATTTTGTTATTTTTATTTTGTGTATGAGTATATTGCCTGCATGTATGTAAGTGCACCCGTGTCATGCAGTGCCCTCAGAGGTCAGAAGAGGGAATCAGATCCCCTGGAACTGGAGTTATGAATAGTTGTTAGTAGCCATGTGGGTGCTGGGAATTGACCCTGGGTCCTCTGCAAGAACAGCCAGTGAGCGTAACCACTGAGCCATGTCTCCATCCCCTAGGATCCAATTTTTTGACACATCAGGAGAAGCAAAACTCTCACCCAGCTTCTGAGGCAAGGGAGGTCATCTTTGCTAGCTGGAAAAGCTCAGCATTCAAGAACCTGTGACAGTAAGAGATCTCTATTCAGATCCATACCCCAAAATAGGTATTGGGCATCATGAACTTAAATCAACTGGGGTAAAAATTCTACACATACAGGAGATAGTTTCAGGGGTACCAATTCCTATTTTATTGCATCCTAAACAATGTTTTCTCATAAGTATGATATGGGTCAGAAATGAGTGAAAGACTGGATTTCAATCTCCACTCTTATAGATTGTTCCCCACCCCCTCCCCGTGCCTCTGTACAGTATTTCAGTAAAAGAAAGGCTATGCTCTCTGACAGCAAGTTCAAAGTGAAAGAAGGTAGGATTGAGTTTTGGAGATGCTTAGCAAAACCAGGATAACTGGAGACTGAGCAATAGATTGAAAAGGTGGGAACACTTGAATAATCTTTGATTTGTATCTTGGGCACTAGGCTGGGAAGCATCCCATTCCAGGCTTAGCATTTCCCTACCAAGCCAGGTCACAAACGATCCTTCAGTTAGTTGAGTGGACAGAGGTCATGAATGCTTCATTTCCAGATCTTCCACTTAAAAGCCCCTTTCCAAGGCACACTATCTCCATGGACAGGAAGGAAGCAGTAGCCTCACATGCCCAGAAGTCATGGATCTCTGCTTCAGCCAGGGACACCTATTAGTCTCTAGAAGCTGTGTAGAGGTTGCCAGCACTAACTTCCCACCTCCCAGCCTGGGCATCTTTTTTTCTTCATAAACATCAATGATTAAGAATTTACTTTTCAATCCAAGAATCTAAGTGAGCTGCTGCTTGGGAAACATTATGAACTAGGAACCATCACCATGTCACCCACCAACCCAAGACCAAGTCAGCAGAGGCAGTGAGGGAGGATCCAGGTGTTCAA